CGTACCTTGTGACAAGAGCAGAGCATACCTTTGTTGCGTGGTTGTCAAAGGAGCATTGCCCATAGTGAATTCGTGATAATGCCATATCTTGGCGTGTCTCTTGGCAAGGTATTGAAGTATCCGGAATACGATGACTGTATCGTTACAGCCGACTATCAACCCAAACTTCAACCATCCGCCCGATGGGGCACCCATTTTTTAACCGGGTACGGTTTATCAGATTCATGCCCATGACTCCAGTAAACCAATCGCTTCTGGCTCCTCGCTATCAGATTTTTTCCTGCGTCTTGGCAAACATCCTTGACCCGCTTGTAGTTACCAAGGTATGCCTCTGAGACCCTTTGCATGCCGCGATAGCCATACTTTAGGCATATGACCAGAGATTATTCCCTGTGAAGATTGATAAGCGAGAACCGGAGTGGCCATTTTTGTTACGTAGGTAATTCAGCATCGTATACAGCCGGACGCTGGAGTCCCGGTCGAATTTGCTCTTAGTGCCATGGCAATATCGGTGTGGTGTCTCTATGGATAGTTGGGGTGGCACCTGGGCCGCTGAAAAGACGCATCCGAATGGGTTGCGGGCATCGGAGAAGACTTGGAGAAATTTGTCGTTGATCCGCTGGGGTATATGTTGCTATCATCTCCCTCGGTCATCTCAGGGACTGGGACAGGACCTCTTTGGCTTGGACTCTCATTCACTTTTGACGCTTTCAATTGTCTCTTGGAGTTGCCTTAGACGAGGCTTACTGTCGACAAGATGGCCAACAGTGTGTTTGCAGTGACAGGTATGATACATATAACTCTTGCACCTTATTATAGCAAGGCATTTGCTCTTTGATCTAGTGCTCACAATCTACAGTCTTCTTCATCTGCTTCCGTGAATGTCTCGAGAGTGTCATTATCGTCTCCGTCCTTCTGTCTTTCCTTAAGCAGACACTAGGAGGAGAAGGCGATGTACAAACATTAAAACGATTAAATCGACATGTATGTTTCTTCCCCCATACGGAATTCCATTCTGCCTTCTTACATAATCCAGGTATGGCTTGGTGTAGCATTAGGTCTCTTCATATGTCTGTGTGTCGGCGGTGGTATGATTGGTGCCTTCTACGGCCTCAACAAGGATGTCTTCACCGGTAGTGAGGATATCTGGGAAGGTATCTTCGGTTTCATCGCTTCCATCATTATCAGTATCATGGGTGCTGGTCTTTTGCGTGTCTCGAAGCTGCAGGACAAGTGGCGTGATAAGCTGGCCCAGGCTCTCGAAGAGAAGGAGAAGACCAAGATTGGTATCTACCAGCGGTTCAAAGACTGGTCCAAGAAATATGTCATGTTCCTTCTCCCGTTCGTGACTGTTCTTCGTGAGGGTCTTGAGGCCGTCGTGTATGTCGGTGGTGTGGGTCTCGGTCTCCCTGCTACTTCGTTCCCTCTCGCAGTTGTTTGTGGTCTTGCTGCCGGTATTGCCGTCGGATATCTTCTTTACAGGTTAGTGTTGCCCTCTCGTGCTGTAAGGGCTTGCAGTCCTGGCTAATATTTCTTCTGCAATAGATGTGGTAACACTGCCTCCCTGCAATACTTCCTGATCATCTCGACCTGCTTCCTCTACCTCGTCTCCGCTGGTCTCTTCTCCCGTGCAATCTGGTACCTCCAGAACAACGCCTGGAATAATATCATCGGTGGTGATGCGTCCGAAACGGGTTCGGGAGCTGGTTCCTACGATATCCGCCAGAGTGTCTGGCACGTCAACTGCTGCAACCCCGAACTGGGTAGCGGTGGTGGATGGGGTATCTTCAACGCCCTTTTCGGCTGGACCAACTCTGCCACCTATGGATCCGTGCTGGGTTACAACCTCTACTGGATCTGTATCATCACTGCTTATGTTTGCATGTGGTACAATGAACGTTACGGCTACATTCCGTTCTTCTCGGCCTGCATGCGCAAAATCCGCCCTACGAAGGCTGCCAGCCGGTCCAGCAGTGAGGGCGTGATTGAGAAGAGCAAGGAGGTTGATAGGATGCCATCGCAGATTGTTACCAGGGAGATCAATGCCTAAGCGTACGGCTAAATCTTTTACTGTCGGTGTTGTGATGAACACGGTTAACGAGATTTGAAAGGGTGCTACAAAAGATGAGGTCTTGAAAAAGGAAGTTGCCTACCACGCACGGCCAGGCAACAGCTAGTGATTGCGATGATTGTATTCGGATTTACCGGCTGGGAATGTCGGTTTCCGCCACATAATGCTATTACGGTGGAAAATTTAGAGGAACTAATTATTTTCGTGAAACAAATTGCAACTATTCTATTATTCCCACCGTCGGCTGACAATCATCCATCTTTGTAGGGCTGATCGGAACATCCGATCTAGAATTGGGAACATGAGGGGTAAGGAACAAAAATAAGAGACTGCCAGAATCACGTCTTTACCTCCGATGCTGCATGAGGAAAATCGTAGTACGCGTCAATCAGCAGGGAAGGAAAGATAACTAGGTGGCGAGCAAGGCTCGGGGATAAGCCCTGACGGCTTGAGCTCAATGTGGATCCTCCGAGCTGCGGACAACAGCTTAGCCAGCCGCCATATAACTATACGAGAGTCCAATAAACCTAGAGAGAGGTGAGTCCAATTCAATCTCCAACAATTTGATGATCATGTATCAATCAATTTTATTAACGTGCCTAGCAGCCTTCTCCATGACTACCACCACCACAGCCCTCGCCATCAGGGAACCGCAACCCATGCACAACGCCAACCACATCTTCAACGCCATCCACTCCTCCATGCGACAATGGGGATCATCACTTCATCATAATGGCATGACTTTTTTCCTTGCCTCTGTCTCGAAGGGAGTTAAGGTCTATCACGGCGACGCACGATCAGACCCCATCTCCAGGATAGGCTGGATGGCTTTCGACCCCGAGCACGCCATGGTATTCGCCCGTCCTCCTTCAAAACAACCATCTCACAACGTGGACTCAGAGTCCCAGCAAGTAATGATCACTCCAGCTGAGACTGGCTGGCTTCACACCTACGCAACTACGGAAGACCTTCGCCTCGTTTACATCGACGGTACTTCGGCGGGGAAGTCACAAATAGGCACGCTGGACCTGCAGGACCGTGTCCTATTTGAAGATAAACTGGAGCCTGGAGGCGTAAGTCAAGAGTCAGCGCGAGCTCGCGCCATCTGTGAGATCGCGCAAGAGGAATGGAATGGACGTATCGACGGCGTGGTCCGGATGGCAGCGGGTTTTGAAATCATTCTCTGCAATCCTGAACAGAAGCTAGACACGGTCAATATTGCTCGAGTGACGCTTCCCATTCGGGATCCCGCAAAGAAGAGCGGCAAACCTAGTGACTTGCTTCGGACGGTCACATCAAGGTACCATGGCATTGGCGGCGACCGGGTCATTGTCAACTATGACGCTTTCGTCACTGCATATGACTATGGTCTTGATTTGTTCCATGGTGGTAGCAAGCATCCACGTCTTGCGCATCTCCCTGCTTTATCGCTTGCGCCCATTAGGGATGATTTGACTGCGCTAGTCATGAATCACGATCCTACGACGCGGGTGATAAACTGGCAAGGAGTGGTGGACATGGTGGTTGAGAAATACGGTCGCATTCTGCGCGGCTTAGTATCTGCCCATCATGATGATCAGGCTGCTCGTCTCGAGTTTATTATGGAGACGGCAGAGCGCATATTATCCCCATTTGTCGATCGCGACAATCGTGATTCCTACGCTGAGATTGACCGATGTGCTAGCCAGTTCATTCCAACTCATGCTCCTAAGGACTCTTTGGGCTACCGAGCTGTCTATACTGTTAGTAGTAGGATCTGCAGCAGTCTTATGGCAGTCATGGAGGCTAAGGAGCACGGTATAGTGACAACTATTCTGCAGGACCTGATGCACTATCTTGACTGGAGTGTATGGAAGGAGTGTTCTGGTTGCCAGGACGATGAATTCTGTGCTGTTCCTATCTGGCCGCAGGGGTCACAGGAAGATTACGATCATCCGCGATGCCAGAAGTATGATGGCGCCTTTCAGGGGAACAATGACTACTGGGGCCCTGTATGGCGGTAGTTCGCACAGCTTTCATTGGTCTTTCTTTTGCATGTTATACTGGAGTTATTATACGGTGTTGGGTTTGGGTAGTTAGTTGAGTTTGCGACTATAGATTCTACATCCATCACATCTTCACATATCACATGAGCAACCCGTCTTGTATACTTGAACAGAGATTTTTAGCAATGAAGATAGTCACATTCTCCCTTGACACCGTGGCAGTGCTGCGATGAGTCCCACACGAAACTTTTGCTTGTCAATCTGGGACCCCTCGCCGCCGATTGCCAGATTCGGAAACCGACGCCGACCCCGGCCATACCCCAAATATATCACTGTCAGTCTAGACGGGCCCGAACCGAGCAATCCTACGCGCAATATTAGCACGGTTAATTTCCAGCCGTCACATGCAATTGACCCCTGTGAGGATGGCTCACTAAGATATTCAGTGTCCGAGTGGACGGCATTTCACCCCCGGCTTATCCTGTGCAGCCCTACGAAGATCACCTCGCTAACCCGTTCTGGTGGCCCTTTGCGAAGGCAGTTGGGGCTGTTGAGTACTGGCTTATTCCTGTCTTACTCTAGCAGACTTTTTTATTTGCTTTTCGTCCAGTGGGAGTTGTTGCTTTTCAAATCTGCGCTCTGGGGAATATCCCCTGAGAAGTACTATTAAAGTTGCTTTGCTCCCTGCTCGTCAAGATAGGTGAGATACACAGCACGAATACACGTGATTTGAGCAGAATATATACAGGTAAGCATGGAGCTTATCTTGGGTAAAGAGGCAAAAGATATATTAATAATGAAAAAGGTATTCAGCTTTTGAAATGAGAATGCAACATGGGAAATCAGTCGAGGCACACAGTCGCCGAAACTGCTTCGTCTCAGCATCGAGGGTATATATCACAATGTTCATCGTGTCTCATGACACGGCATGAAAGGTTCATAAAATTTCGGTTTACTGCACGGCCGTGAGGCTGCGAGTCATTGAGGATTGTTCAAGTATGCGTGAACGAGGTTCTTCCTGTCTACCATCTGCACACAAGACAGAGGCCAACCGGTAACCCATGGTCGAACCAACACACTCAAGAGCAAGCCGGCATAGAGTCAATTGGTCTGCTGTCGCAAGCCCGGAATTTACAACCACCCACATCGGCCACAGAAGCGTGTATCCATTCGCCAGCTTGCTGTTGGGGTGCAGCTGGAATTCATGATTTGGGGTGACATGTCCCAATGTGTAAGTCGCAGTGTCGCAAATCACCTCTATCAGGCTTCTGATCCGATCGTCTATCCCGCTGAATGTTTCTACAGGGAAATATTCAATATGTTCATCGTTTATCGCAGATGCAAATGGAACGTACTTCTCCCAACACTCGAACACGTGGACGAGATAGAGAATTTGTGCTGCCTGGACGACGGCCAAGAAGCATGGGGTCCATGGATCTCGCGAAGCAGCCTGCTCTGCATGATTCACTTGGCCCATACCCGGCACGGCAAATTGGCGTTTCCAATGTTGAGGGACTGCCTCATCCCAAATGCTGATTTGTTCCATGATGAAATACGCCCTTCCCAGAATGGAATGCAATAACCGGGCCCTGGCGGTGGGTGGGTAGTTGTGTTCGGTTCTTCGGAACTCGCTGGCCCCGTGACAAAACTCGGAGATCATACTGGTGATTATCCCTGAGCGTAGCACGTAGTCGGGATTGTACGCCATATTGATAGATGCTGGCAAGCAGGCATACGCAAACTGATTATTGGCTACCGCTTGAATTTGCTGCAACGTACAAACTAAGTCAACAATGGCTTCTGTGAATACAGTGGTTTGGCTTACTATCTGAGTGAATGCCCAACCGAATAGCTTGCGGGCATATTTGCTACTGCGCTCCGGTCTACCCCGAAGATGCATTAGAGAGCAAATTCCAGGGATGTGAGGATTCACTGCCCCCTGTCTCTCGCCGCTTAGATCCTGAGGTTTGGTAAGCAAGCGGTGCCGGTTAATCGGGTCGATATTGGTAAACTTACCATGAACATACTCAAGAACAGCGCAGCTGCAAACGTCTCGTCTTGAGTCGAGGTCTCCTTGTTGCTGAGTGACGTTGTGAGCGATTTCAATGCCACACCATAATGCTTCCTAGCATTCACGTAAAGCTCATTTACGCGAGCGGTGTTGAATAACGAAAGGTAAGATACGCTAAGGATGGCATGTCTCAGGGAAGGGTCATTGCCTTTCTCCTGATATAGCTCAGGAAGGAAGGCAAGATGACCCTCACAGGGAGACTTCTCGGTAGGCAGGACATGCTGATGAAAGAAATAACAAAGTGACTGCCACTCCAGACATGGTGTTATCGCAGCAGGGGGACTAGGTGGTGTGGGTGGGGATTTAGTGGGAATCAGACGTGTATCTGTTCCATCTTGGTCTGATACTGCCGCGGACGGTGATGTTGAGCCACTCGCGGGCTGTTCACCGTCCGTAGTCTTTTTGGTTCGTTTCCTGGCTGCTGCCTTGCCTGCTTGAGGTTCTTTCGTGGCTTTATATTCACGAAAGGCGAAGGCATCCGGATAACCCGTACACTGCCTCCCCTGTGTGACGCAGCGACGGCATGCTGGTCGAGCCCCATCACACTGTTCCAGGTCAGTTAAGAATCACGTAGAAGAAGAGACAGAACAGTTTCTATCATATTTACCGAACTTACCTTCACTTTACGCCTCCGGCATACATAGCAGCCGGTGCTAAGCCTTCCAGGGAACACCATGTGTATAAGCGGCGGAGACGAAGCTACCAGATGCAGGCAAGGACAGATGCAGGTCACCTCGGAGAATGGAAGAGGCTGTGATTTGCATGCAACAGGAATAGGCAGTGCTTGCGAGACCGACGATGTGATTCATTCCAGTGCACAAAAAGAATAGCAAGCGGGCAGCAACTGCAAGGTTTCAGGTCCCCGTCTGGAAGAGGGGAAGTGCGACGGCTTTCCGCCACCAATCGGATATCGGGCGGGATCGACGCTCCGTGGATGTCACGTGTGCCAGACCCTCGTCTCTTTGCGGTTTAGCGCTGTCGTGGCCCTATGGGGCCACTCGCAAAGTAGCCCCAGAAAGGGTTTAGCGTTATCGGTGCCAAGGCCAAGCTAGTAGTGCGAGCCAATCAGCAGACCTTTTTACCAGCGGTACCAGGTTTCCCTTTCAGAAGGAGTTCTGCCGCGGTCTTGGCTTGAGCTTGACCTACTTTTGAGACTGCCGACTCAATATCCGGTAAATGTTTATCCATACCCTGTACAGGGCACACAAAACCAGCTGGTGAACCCTTATACAACATGAGACAAAATTCATGCAACGGAGCGATGTTCCCGCTTAATTACTCAGATCTAAATTCTCTCTACATCATCTCACATTGTACTACACGCCAGTAGGCCAGTACTAATATGTACTTTCGAGAGCAGGGTCCTCAACGCTTATACGAGAGCCTACAAAGAACATTCCAAAACATTTGGTAAACTACAGTCCCATTCTACATTTCATGCCTATCGTAGTAAGCTCAATGTTCGATCTACATATATATAGGGTACTAATGGTCAACACACAGCACATGCCCCCCCCCCCCCCAAGAGCTTTTTATGCTTAGGACAACTAAGTTCTCCCCCTTCTCGGAACGAGGGCCTCCCAAGGATCCACCTAGAGTTTGTAATAGTAAGACTAATCAACTTGGCACATGAGTCAAATGCTCGAGTAGCACTCTACTAACAACGCTTTGCGGGTTCACCGGCAGTAGTGCTCGGTAGTACATCGGTCTCTATTATCACACTTCGGTTCCTTCCGAATGAGTGAGGACTAATGGAGGATATAGGTGCTATTTGAGGAGAACCCAGGCTGCATGACGTGGATTGTAGATTTGTAATTGACGGTCCCCGTCCGGCGTCTTAATTCCACATATTAGAGGTCGTAGTTGGTGCAGTTTGTGTGTCCTATACCTTGCGCATAAGGTACAGGGGCATGACAAAACCATATCCAAGATACTAGAGCAGAATACGTCATGAGGAACTCATCTTACTTCACTATTCGACCGAATGTTGTGGCCACCTGCTCGCTCTATTGAACCCGTCATATTGCCTCAGCCATGGCTTCCACCGTTCTTGAAGACTGGTCCTTCCTTGTCGAAGAATTCTGCAATATCCGCCACCAAGGCCTCTGGTCTTTCCCACGCAATGAAATGCCCCCCGGATTTATGTTGCTTCCAAAACTGAATGTTGCATGTCTCACTCATCCAGTCACGAGGATATAACCACAGCTTTCACAGTAAATGAAATGTCAGCCCATGCCACGGAAATTCAACAGCAGCCGACATACCTCCTTTGGGAAAACCGAACAACCGACGGGCTGGGATATGTATCTGCCTAACATACTGTTTCTGTTCTCGTTCAAGACTGCCTCTGCCTCCTTATAAATTTGCATTGCTGCACTCGGGCTTCCTTGATAGTGCATGAATGTCCAATGAATGAGTTCTTCTTTTGTCCAAGGGTAGTCGTCAGTCCATGCCTTTAGTTTACCCACTAGCCAGGCCAGCATGCCGACGGGGGAGTCATGTAACGCGTAACCGAGCGTCACATTCTTTGTCTCTTGGACTCGCTGATATCCGCGCTGTGAATGGCTCCAGTCAGATGCAAAGAGCAGTTAGTCATCTGCTTAGTACTACTCACTTCATTATGCGCAAACCATCTTGTCCTCTCCAAGTTCTCTAGCTCTTGCGTATCATAATCCATCCTCTGGTACCGCTGGAACTTCTCAGCTGAGATTTCTGGACTGGGCGGAAGCGCTAGGAACATGTTTATGTGGATCCCTAATACCATCTCTGGATGGCCCAATGCCATGTATCGAACAATAGACGAACCCCAGTCGCCACCCTAAACGGTCCCTTACTTCAGTGGCGATGAAACGGTTGAGAAAAACTATAGCTTACCTGACAAACAAATCTATCGTAATGTAAAGTAGCCATTAGTCGAGCAAAGCAATCGGCATATTGCTCCAAACCAAACCCGCTCTGCCGAGAAAAGTCGCTGAAACCATACCCGGGTAAAGATGGCGCGACGACATGGAAAGCTTGCCGTCCTTCTGGAGGGTCCGTGAGCAATGGTAGAATCTTCAGTGACTCAAGAAATGACCCAGGCCTAATACGGGTACATTAGCATGTTTAACGGCAATCCAGAAGAAGTATGTTACTATACCATCCGTGAACAAATAGTAAAGGAATCGCATCCGCCCGTGACGATGGATGATGCAGAAAATGAATTTCCAATGCCTCAAAACCAGGAATTTGTATCGGCGTTTTGAAATGATGAAACGTATTCAGGTAGCTTTCGAATTTTCTCCAGTCATACTCTTCGCGCCAGAATTCCAGAAGTTGCTTGAATTCGGCATGCCCAATCTCTAGGTCGTTCCATTCCACCTCACCCATGCGCTCATCGAGACGAGCGATCTTGAGCTTCGCTTTGACTTCCTCAAGAAGAGTGTCGGAAATTTGGACCTTGGGTGTTTGTCTGATCAGTATAATTCACTGCGCCAGCCATGAGAAACCTTACAGTAAATGGTCTGATGTTTGCCATGTTGCGGTTGAGTTTCTGTTGTAAAAAGAAACTTTGGTGTCAACAGCATAAATTCCAATATGTTGCGAAGGTCAAAACGTATTTACAGACAAAGGTTGGTTTATACGTCTTTACACCCTTGAAATAGAGGCGTAGTATACACTCAGCCTAAATCTACGCTGATATCATAACCAGAGTTGGCCAAGTCGGGGTTCTCCACTTCGGAAAGGCATTACCCGCCAACCCCACCAAATACGATCAATCCCCCGTGTAGATTTATAACAAGACCTCAGTACTGGCTGTAACATCTCTTGGACAGAATTTGTGAACATTTAAATTGATTGATCACGTTATAATGGAGTCGTACCTAAAAGGCCGCACGGCAGTTATTGTGAGTCCTGTCTATTCCGCGTAGTTTTCCACTCCCTTGCTAATGATGCCACCCTTCTAAGACCGGCGCCTCCATGGGCATCGGTGAAGCTATTGCTATGACCCTAGCAGAGAAAGGAATGAATGTCGCTCTATTGGCAAGAAGCGGGGTATGTATCTCAATAACGTTGGTCCACGGGAAATGTTAACTCGAAATTAGCCCAAGCTAGAAGCTGTGAAGGCTCGAATTGAAAGCAAATGCCCCAATATCACAGTTCGCGCCTACAGCGTTGACATCCAAAGCCATGCGGAGGTCAACGCGGCTGTGAAACTTATCGTATCCGCTCTAGGAGACATCGAAGTTTTGATCAACAATGTAAGCTTGCTTTCGGGATTCGAGGTAAGAGATGTGAAAGCTGACCATCGCCAAAGGCTGGGCTCGCTCTTGGTGCACCGGGGAGATTCCGGGAACTACCGATTGAGATGGTAGAGCAAATGAATGGCACGAACATTACTGGAGTGATGTACATGACTCACAGCGTCCTCAACGAGAGTATGTGGCCCAGAAAACGCGGCACTATCATAAACGTCTCGTCGGTTACCGGGCTTGAATGCCCTCCTTTTGATGGGGAAGCCGTATATCACGCAAACAAAGCCTGTCTTGAGGCATTTTCCAACAGTTTGCGGATGGAAACAGCTGGATCTAACATTCGTGTGTCAGTTCTCCGGCCAGGCTGTGTGGTCAGTCACTTTCATCTTCAGCGCGTCAAATATGATCAAAACGCGATGGATGAATTTTTCTATGGCTATGAACCGCTGGTACCAGAGGATCTGGCTGAGGCGGTATGGTATATGGTCAGCTGTCCTGAGAGGACTACAATTAAAGCACTCGACTGTGTGCCAACCGCGCAGAGAGGCCTTACTCGCTTTGACCGGGAATGGAATGCACGAAAGGACGGAGACAATCAAGCATAAAAGGCATGACAGTCATTATGGTAGTTTACAAATATCCTAAAGAGAATTTGAATAAGTCTCCTTTCATTATTATGAGTGTCATTATTATTCATCAATCATAAATTGGAGCAGTCCAAGGGTTACTGTATAAAGAATACAACTGGTCTAGAAGAAACAAGTCCCTACTGGGTCTTCGACCTGAAAGAAGTCTTTAGGCAATAGTTATTGCATGGTAGTAGATCACACTTACGGAATAAGTCAGTAACTATTTATGCCCTTTTTGCCACCAACTAATATTTCTTTCCTCTGCGCATTGACTATAGTCAGCCTCGACGAAGCTGATGATGTACCTAGGAATGGAAGGTGGGCTAGATAGTAGTTCATCAGACTGCCATTTATAATTAAGGGTACAGGATCTTCAACTTTAAGTGAGCGGGCCCCATTCTTGCTGCTGACAAACCACCCCGCTCAGGGCCCACAGTCTCAGGGTCGTCCATTTTCGATCAATCCTTTCATGAACATCGACACAATACCTCATCATCTCGCTGCTCTGAAAATGCCAGCTACACAAAAGAGGCAGCGTGTCTCCATTGCTTGTGTACCATGTAGAAAAAAGAAACGTCGGGTGAGTCTGAAGACATATGACAGCTGGTTGCGACCCTGACCCTGAGTATAGTGTGATGGGCAGAAGCCCGTTTGCCAAGTCTGTGAGAGAGAAGATCGCGAATGTGAATACACATATCATCTTGAGAAGCGAAAGTTGGTGATACGGATACTCTGGCTGGACGCATCGCTGAAAGGACCCTAGGCCTCCGACCAAGTGCTACATCCATGCACTCCACTCCAGGATTGCTTTCCTGGAACATCAACTTGCAACAACCCGCCATGGTGCAGAACAAAGTGAGCTCCTGACTGTGGGCCTAGGCAGTGACGAGGAAGACTTGAAGACGCATAATGTAAAGCCTGTATCACATAGCCTTTCGGGCTTCAGGCGAAATTTTCAACTTTCAGGGGCGTACGGACTGTTCTGCTCTAGGGAGCTTGACGAACAACAGCAAAGCTCTAGCGGGGTGGGCATCTTGGAAAATGTAGATTCAGTATCAGAAGAGCCGATATTTCTTTTTCCAGATGCACAAAGCCAGCTTTTAGACGACTTTTGGACCTGGAGAAATACTTGGCCAGTCCTAGTCCATGAGCCTCTGTTCAAAAAAGACTTAACCAACGGTGGAGTCAAAGTCTATGCCACCCCAACCTTATTGGCAGCAATAGTAGCCTTCAGCTCCCAGTGTGCCGGTGATGCACAGCTCAGCATGTGGGGAACATCAGGCGAGGCTCTTGCTAAACATGCAAAAAGCAAAATACTCGCGCAAATAGAATATTCCAGTCTGTCCCTTGTCCTGGCAGCAGCTATTATCGCTCTAAGGGAATTAGCAGTCGATAATCTGTCCTCTGCTTCGCAGTATATCGGTAAGTCCATGTGGTAATAGCACACATTGAAGGCTCACATGTCTTTCAGGGATTGCCTTTCGACATTCTCTGACTCTTGGACTTCATATCGAAACACCAACAATGGATGAATCGATACAAGGCTCCCAAGAAGTTCTAGAAGCCCGGTCACTTGCATGGTGGGGTGTTTGGCTGCTGGAAAAGTCTGATTTATCTAGAAAGCTATACGTGAACATCAAGCTAATACCATGATAGACACATATCCCAAATCCTTGGCCAGCCAAGTGCTCTACGCGACGGCGACATGCGTCCAGGGCCCGTCCCAATCCTTCCCAGTGTCGAGTATCGCCTATGGCCGGTGTTGCACGTGTCAGGTCCAGAATTGGCATTCTCGAGTTTGTCAAATCTTCAATATGCGTGTAAGCTAGTGTGCATGGTATCACCTATTCTGGATGAAATGTAAGTGTTCACTGCGAAACATCGACAGCGCTCATGGTTTTTTCCCGGCCAGACTCAGAAGGCCTTTTTGGAAGATTTTACTAACTGCGCCTCAAGTCATGCACTGGCATCTCCTCTAAGCATACATGAAAAGGAAGAGAAAGCTACAAAGACTCATGTCGCCATGTCCGAATTCTACAATAACTTACCGAGTCACCTCAGACTCCCTGCCACCGCTACGACGCAACTGAGCCCACCTGTTTACCAATTCAAGTATACAATCCTAGGAGACCACGACGAGAGTTGATCAGGAGCTAATGTATGTCCAGCTTGCTATATCACAACTTGAAAATCATGCTTCATCGTCCTTTTTTCAAAACAGCCCCGTCAATGCATGATTTGGATGAATTGAATCGCCCGGAAATGGTACATATCCAATCAGCAACCTTTTCAGCCATTCGCATAACATCCATCGTTAATGCGTATAGAAACTTCTATCCATTGGTAAGTACATTTAATGAATCACCTCCACCGCCTTCTTTTTCGTCTACGTTATACGCATATTGGCCCATAATACAATCTTATCTAAAATACTGAACTGTAATTAGGAAACTCTTTCCCCATTCGCTGTCCATAGCCTGGCAACTTCATCTCTCGTGCATCTTTTGAATGCCAATTCGGCTGATGCCACTCTGTCGCAACGGACAACGCACCTTTACCGTCTCAATCTCCGCTTCCTGGGCCAAATGAGCTCAACGAACTATGGCAGCAATCGCGCAATAAAGGCTCTTACATCCTTAGAATGTGAGGGGGATGCATCAATTCTGCCGAATACCACGAAACCATCCATGCGTGACCGCGGAGCAGAATGTAATGGTTCCGTTTCCGCGGGGCAAAGAGGAACGCCAACCACAGCACTAGACTCGATGAACATTTCCGGCCATATAGATTTCATGGAGAATGCTTTCGATTGGTTTCAGTTGCCTCTGAACGATCAACTCGTTTTTGATGATGTCATCGAGAGCTCTTTGTGGGAGGAGGTATGCGAAAGCTATGACCCCATGGGCGGCCTACCGCCTCTCCACCGAAATCTGTAGGTAGTGCATCGGCCGAAATATTATGGTTGTGCCTTATCTTCTGGGGCAATTCCCTGCAGGTGGAGATTGGGAGAGAAAACAAGGCTTGGCTTTGTTGATCTGGAAAGCAAAAGCCCGTTTCCCCGGAGCGTAATCAATATACTCGTTGAGATTTCACTCCACTCGTGCAGGTCTACAAGCGGTCTGGCCCTCACGACTTATTAGACCCTGTCAATCTGTTCTGCAACATCGACCGAGTGCCCTAATCGATCACGCGCCAGTCTTAGCATAAGGCTAGACCAGTCTGTAATCCCGTGATGGATTCTTACCTATTCAACCATCGCTACAGATTACAAAGGGGTTATTTCGGCCTGTCTAGATTATGGGATCGATATGACAAGTGGACAGTGGGCGTGTCATGGGGTGTCCGTACTGGGCGGCATCCGAGTCACGATAAGAGGGGTGGGAAGAAGTGGATTTGGATTGCGATCTAGATCAACCTCTGAAAGACGAATATTAGCACCCGGCATTTGACTTTTCGAAAGGCTGGCTGAAGGTCAGACTGCGGGTCCGGCATACTCTAACCGATCTCCCGTCTGTGGGGCGTTGGGGACCAGAAATTTCTCTTTAATCTTGCTTTTGAACGGCGAGATTTTGATTTCACCTTCATGTCAAGGCTATGGACCAAAAGATGCGGCCAAATCGGAAGACAGCGTGGGGAATCAGTAAGGGGCAAGTTTTGTAGAGTCAATGTACAATGTAGGTAGATATGGAGCGAGATGGCAGATGGATGGATCATTTGGGGTTGTCCCTGCCGAATGGGGAATGTTTCGGCGCCCCCGGGTACGGGGGGCAACACTTGCCGACTGCGCAAGGGCGTGATCCTTTCCTTTCATTTGCTTTCCATCTTCATTCCTTTCTCATTCCTTTCCCTGCATGCCTGCAGACACAGCCAGGTTACATTCTAGGAATGTAACATCTTGTTCACCTCATGCAAGCAAGGCCAATTGAATTGCATGAATGGCACATTTTCCACGGATAACCACGAGGGATCAGTCCGGTACCCCGAATCAACAATGCTTTGATGCCTGGCTCGTTATCGTGAGAATGCCCGGCCGACAATATGGACCTCTTCATGGTCGAGCTACACTAGGATACTTCACTCCCTCTGCATTCGCCTCTCCCTAGGCCATACTTCCGTCGGCGTCTGTGATACCACCTTCCGTTAAACTGAACGCTTGACACTCTTTGTTGGCTGTTCGATTCATCCTTCCTACCATCTCCGTGGGCGAATGATTGGACGACCTGTACGCTATCACTAAGATTAGGTTACATTCCGTAAGAAAACTGTTGCAGCAGCCCTGCTGATGCCGGCCCGACACGTTTTCGGCTCGGTCAACACTTTGGCAATCCCGGCATGGTGGTTATTGTGCTACCAGATGCATCACCCCATGAATGTAGTGGTAACGCCAAGAAGGTGCCAGAAAGGCAGAGTCATTGACCTGTCAAAGGACCTCGTGAATACATACTTGAACGCGATTGGGTGACGACACCCTTTATTGCAGGCTACATGTCGTCTTGCTGTTCGGTTGTCAATGACACTCGCTCGGTCTCTTTTCCGGCAGCCACGCGACGACGGAAATGCGCTGTTACCGGTCCCCATCCTCCGAAGCAAGGGATAGGAGGCAATGACTAGGAAGTACCCTACACAATGTCCACGGTAAGGAGTCTTGAGTATAGATTGTCTAGCAGTAGCCCCCAGGAATGTGGCGGTGCACGATTTTGAACGGGCAATGTTCTAGAGCAAGTGATGCCATTTGCTCGGCCCATGAAGTGATGCTATTCTGCTTACACCAGGCATTACCATTCTCAACGTTGAACATGCCCGTCTAGTTCAATTATAGCTCGTTCATGTCAGGCGATAGGTCGCTTTGCCTATCCATGGATGGCCATGCTGCAGGGTTACATGCAGTAAGAACGTGGATATCCCCATGCAAACCGGATTTGTCAAGGGTTTTGCCTCTGGAATGGCGTCATGGTTGGTGGTTGAAGATGGGATGGACCAAACAACGTCTACGGTTTGGGATGCGGTCGGTGGCCGGACTACCGCTTTGGGTACCCCGACAAGCGCTCGAGCCGCTGATTGGCGCGACAACCCAACGTCCTTATCAAAGGTATTCGATGGCTTGGGCACTGGACATCTCACGGGGTAATGCCGACGATGATGGTGTGTAGCTTGAGCTCATTTGTCATAGAAATTGTCACATTCTTGCTTTCTTTTTTCAAGGGCGGGACTTTGCAGGCGTTGGGTACAAGGCGCAGTGCATTGTGTTACTTGAGTGTGCCATGTGCGGCTAACCCTCATCAACACAGGAATGGTGGGGAGAAGCAATGAAAGTTAATCCAGAGAGGTCCAGGCATTTCATTGATCGTCCCGGCCGTGGCCCCACGGCGATCGATCGATATCGGAGCTGCACCTTCCCTACGCCTACTGCTACACGCTACAATCGTTTCCTCGGATACTCCGACGTTCATGACGTCGTGCCACCATTGCTTTTCCTAGAGCGGTGCATTCGGCCACCCTCAACTCCGATGTTGGGTCTGCAGGGCTGAAGTATGTGATTTCACTATATAAGACGCTCGCCTTGTTCCTGGTGTGGCCTTCTCCATCCATACCAAACCCACCTACCTTCCAGTTCCTTGTTCTTTCCCGGCGCTCTGTTTTACTGGTACAGGACTATAACCTCGCCCGACATTTTATTTGGCCTTCGCGTCCTGGCCCATTCCTTTTTCGAGATATATTTCATGAATCCCACAACGGCAGTGTTTCTTTGGATCACCTAAGAAACAATTCTCTGATCATGGACACGAAAGAGCTATTGGAGAAGCCCTCAGGAAAGGATGGGGCTTTCAGTCCCACGCGCCAACCTGGGAATATGCATGCCGAGCATGCCACCCAGCCAGATGATGATAGCGAAATTCAAGGGAAGTTTCACGGCCCCGTGAAACGAGAACTTACCGAAGACGACTGCTACGAGAAGCTGGGCTTCTGTTTTCCATGGTACAAAAAATGGACAATCCTTACGGTCATCTTCGTCGTGCAAATGTCAATGAATTTCAACAGCAGTACTTACTCCAACGCCGTCCCGCAACTCTCCGAACACTTTAATATCAGTGAACAGGCCGCCCGAGTAGGCCAAATGATCTTTTTAGTCACATATGCTTTTGGCTGTGAACTGTGGGCCCCATGGAGTGAGGAGTACGGCCGGTGGCCGATAATGCAGCTCAGTCTACTGTTCGTGAATATCTGGCAGATACCGTGTGCTCTTGCTCCTAACTTCGCAACGATGGTTGTCTGTCGTGGCCTTGGTGGTATTAGCTCTGCAGGCGGCTCTGTGACTCTCGGGATGACGGCTGACATGTGGGAGCCCGATGATCAGGGCTTTGCTGTCGCTTATGTGGTCTTGTCCTCCGTGGGAGGCACCACCATTGGACCGATATTTGGCGGAATGATGCAGCAGTGGTTGAGCTGGCGGTGGAACTTCTGGATCCAGCTTATCTTTGGCGGTGCTACTCAGCTCCTGCACTTTTTCCTTGTCTGTGAGACTCGATCGACGATTCTTCTGGACCGAGAGGCCAAACGCCGACGACAAACCGGCGAGGATCCTAACGTGTATGGACCGAACGAGCTGAAGCCCTCCCGACTCAACATCAAGGAGGTCCTACACGTTTGGCGCCGACCCTTCGAGATGTTCCTCTGTGAACCCATTGTGCTCTTTCTATCTTTGCTCTCCGGTTTCTCCGATGCGCTCATCTTCACCTGCATTGAGTCGTTCTCTTTGGTCTTCGCACAATGGGGGTTCAATGCCGTCCAAATCGGTCTGTGCTTCGTTGCCATTGTGATCGGCTACTTGTTTGCCTACGGTATCTTCCTACCCGACATCTACCGTCAACGCCTGGTACGACGCCGGGAGGGAAATGCCTCTCGATACGCTGAGCGACGCCTTCTACTTTTGCTCTTCATTGCGCCTCTTGAAACGATTGGACTGTTTGGATTCGCCTGGACCTCAATGGGCCCCGAGTACACCCACTGGATCGTACCGTTAGTATTTGTGTTCCTGATCGCTATTGCTAATTACGGCATCTACATGGCTACCATCGACTACATGGTTGCCGCTTATGGAGAATACTCTGCGTCTGCGACGGGAGGCAATGGGTTTGCGCGAGATCTGCTCGCTGGACTCTCAGCCATGTATGCAACACCGATGTACACCAATATCGGTGGCAGATTCCATCTCCAATGGGCGAGCACCATTCTTGGCTGCTTGTCCGTCCTGGTGACAGTCCCCATCTACATTTTCTATTGGAAGGGACCTGAAATCCGGGCCCGAAGCAAGTTCGCCCAGACTCTGGAGGCGGATCGGCAGCGGCACGCAGCCGTCCGTCGGTCTAGTCAGGTCACCATCTCGCGCAAGACATCCATGGCCTAAGCGCCTGGTGTGCGGTAAAGGTATTTGAGGGAGCGATCTGTCGGAGTTTCCTTTTTTGGCTGGTCCGAATGACGCCATGATTGACGGTTAAGATCCGCATGTATGCATAGATACCCGTTTTGCTTTTCTTTCCTTTTTCTGCTCGATGTGCTGTCCTCCCAGGGCGTCGGGACACGTGTACTTCAATGTATGTGGAATAAAACAAGGTTTACTTATCTGAAAAGTCTTGTCGATCTATCAGATGTAGTTCCTGCCGGTGTTGGCGGGCTTAGTGCTTATCCAAACCTCTTGCCACAGTATACTCAAATCATACAGGATTGGATATCCTCGTTGCCTAGAAATTTCTACTTTTTAGAGCAGTAGGGATATAAATCGATCACATATGATATGATATGGCATGATAAGGGAAGGATGGGTAGACCTACCTGGATGTATGTACGACAGGATGAGGGTTGGTCGTCCAATGCAGCAGGTTGTCCGTATCCTAAGTCAGCGGCAGAGCTGTCCCTTCTTCAGTGGTTAGACAGCTGTTCAAGGGGTACTCGGGGAAGGTACTAATCCAACATATGGTCATTTGCGTATTAATGCCGTTCGTGAAGTGCGAGACCTCCAAGCCTGAACACAACTGTAGTTGGTGTATTTATCTTGCTCCTGTGCAGAGCAAAGGAGTACTCCTGTTGGCAAAGGACATCAGGTGACACGTTGTCATCTGTCATCTGCCATCTGATATATGATATCATGGTTATCTGGGGACATAGGTCGTGCGCACCAGACTTTCTCAGCTATACTTTGATATCCAGTTGGAATGTAGGATCGCTGGCTTTGTTCACACTCTACAACAGGGAGCTAAGAGATGAACACTCCTATTGTGGTAGCGATCATCGCCAATTCCGCATTTTGTGAGTAGAGCGGGAGCTGAGAGATGGCATTATCGCCTATCTAATTCGATATTGTAGTATTTATACTGACCATTCCCATCACATTGAAGATGTGATTAAAAGCTGAGAGATGTAACATCAGGGTGATCATGACTCCTTTTAGCATACTGGTAGGGTGGTGGTGAGCTGAAAGATGCCGTCTTTGTGAACAGGCGGCCCATGCGTAGATGGTATGGGCCAATCACACTGAACATCACATTGCCCCTTGGACATGAAGTAGATATCCCTTCAACTTCTTCACGATCGATCTACATGATTCGTAAATCTGCGGATATCTGCGATCGTATATAGATTTGATGCTAAAGAATGTCTATAAATACGGGAATATTCACCCCGTCTCTCAATGAAGTACCGCACACAGCAATTCCTTTTCTTTTATGACAATAAATCGAACAATCGTTGCAGAAATATACCCTTAGTGTCTTATTATATTCCCATCACCATGCAATGGTATACAGGTTACGGCAACAGAACCATGGGTAAGTGGGCGATTCTCATCAACCATGAGCGTCTGTACTGGTTCTATGGCGATGGGGGAAGTGCGGATGGCTACGGAGATATCATCGAACAGAATGCTGGAGGCGCTTATTTTGCACCGAACCCTTACTATCATCCTGGCGCACCTCGGCGGCCACGTCGGCCTTGAATGTCGGGTAGGGTGGAAAGGACATGGACGTTTCAGGGCGGTGGATGATGCAGGTGTACAGGGAGAATTATGAACAGAATTCTTGAATTGTTTTTATCCTTTCGTTTCGACTCCTCTTTCTGTTGCTCATGCCTTTCGGGTTCGGTTTTGGTGGGACTGCTTATGTGAGAACAGATAGGGTAGACCTCAGGATATAGATAGCTCACTAAGCAGACCCTGAGTAGAACATGGCAATTCAGATTGAAAACATTCCTTACAACTGAGGTATATCAAGGCACCCGTGCTTCGAATCTCGATGGTACTACTAAGTAGTACTACTACTGGTATCCTTGAGTACTAAAATGACCGTGTTCAATAAGCTATTGTGAAGTATCTAGTACTTAGTAAAGTGCGGAAATATATTGTAGGGGAATAGATCCTCAGAGGTACTGGGCACAACGATATATATATAATGCCCATATGGGTGCAGAGATGATACCGACGCACTTACGTAACAATAGACTGCGCTCGATGTTAATACTGGACTCTGCAACCTATCTTCATCCTATCATTCCAAGCCAGCAAAGATCATCATCTCTCGGCTGCAGGAGCCAACACAACCGGGGGGAGGGTTCCGCAGCCAACCGCAGTGCGGAAGGACATTCCGAAATGCCGCACTGGGGGCATGAGTGGAAAGCCAATGTCGGGCCGCCGATTGCCAAAGATTGGAGCGATAGTGCGGGGAAAGTGAAAGGTAAAGTGCGCCCAGACTAGCAGACTGGACCAGCCAAAGCTTGGACAATGTTGCTCGGCCGGAAATGGAGCCGTAGGAATGACGGCGGGTGGCTGTCTCCAGATATCGTATCCACCATAACCAGCCGAGGACAGCTGCATTGCAATCAGCGTACTTATAAAGGGTTCGCATCGCTCGCATTCTTCCCTGAAACTGAAGAATCCATATCACATCGTCTACACCACAATCATGGCTATCCAGACGATTCTTATCGCCGCTGCGGCGGTGGTCTACTTCCTGGTGCGCTACATGAACCGCACCGATGTGCCCAAGATTAAGGGCATCCCCGAAATCCCCGGTGTGCCCCTCTTTGGCAATCTCCTCCAGTTGGGCACTCAGCATGCCATCGTCGCCCGGAAATGGGCCAAGTCATTTGGCCCTGTGTTCCAAGTCCGCATGGGTAACAAGGTAAGTGAAATATGCGATCGGAGATTTGATTGATTTAAACGGTTCCTGTTCCTGACCCGCCCTTTCTTTGCTTCTTTCCAGCGCGTCGTCTTCGCCAACAGTTTCGACTCTGTCCGCCAGCTCTGGATCAAAGACCAGTCTGCCCTGATCTCCCGTCCCACCTTCCACACTTTCCACAGCGTCGTATCTTCCTCGCAGGGCTTCACCATCGGTACCTCGCCCTGGGATGAATCCTGCAAGCGTCGTCGCAAGGCGGCCGCGACCGCGCTGAACCGTCCTGCCGTGCAATCATACATGCCCATTATCGACCTTGAATGCACCGCCAGTATCAAGGAATTGTTCAAGGACAGTCAGAACGG